ACATCTCGCTCTTCCACTTCATTGTCCTGCTGCTGCAAGCAAGCGATGTAAATGATTTGTGCGCGCCAGACTTTGTAGAAGCTCTGCAGTCTGCCCACCTCAGACGCACGTATACAGTGCACCACGATGTTCTCAACCACTTGGATGGCTTCCGCCACATCGAAAGCTTGGTGGGCACCGGTGCATTTAAGGGTGAGAAAATCCCGCGGCTAACAACCGCTGAGGAGGATCCGTTCTTCAGTTGTATGGCGAGCTTTGTCACAACATCACGTGCGGATTGTGCTGCGATCTGGAGCTGCAATGCTCAGGTTCTACGGGCTTACAAGGAACTGAGTCTCTATTTTGACGATCCTACTTATGTGTACCCTCCACCGAAAGATGACCAGGATGGCAAACGAGATCTGTTTGGTCTTCTGCACAGCTTCGCATCCGACTGTGTCAAAGTCAGGCAGGACATCGATGCCCTGGCCTCACCGTTGGCCGCAGAGGTGAGGTTACAATGCCGGTTCACTCTGCCATACTTGGACTCCGGTTCAGAGTTCTCAGATGGATCGCAGAGCCCCTGCGAGCACACCGAGCCTGCGAGCAAGCCTTCGGTGCAGTCGTTTACGCATGATGTCCATGCTCTCAGGGCCAGGATGCCAAGCCCGCAGAGACCGCCGCAAACTCTCAGTGAAGCATCTTTGCCACCACGCGAGGCTTCTCAGCACTTGATCTTGTTTCATGCCTGTCTACAAATGTTTGCAACATGCTGACCCTCATAGCACGAATGTGTGCGTGCGGCAGTAGTCTTTTGCGGCATGTTGATTCGTAGTGGGTTGCGCACTGCTTGGCCACAAGGTGCTGCGGTCCCCCCAACGGTACATGCACAGTTTGAGGGTTCTTATTATGACTCTTGTGATGACCAGGAAAAACGGAAGACAGCCTGGTTGGTGTAACACCACGGCATGTGTAGCATAGGTCCTGCTGTGTAATGATTCGGGTCTTGCGGGCATAATTGCAAGTTCCAGTGCTTTTGAGTCGTGCTCGGGCTGCTTTCCCGCGCACGTTCTGGTATTAAAACCATCTCTCATCGACCAATATCGCGAAATTCGACCAGGGAAGTGCTTTTGGGCCTCAAGTCGGGCGGTATGTGAAGGGATGCTCGGGGATGCTTGGGTGTACGGTCTATACCACTGTTTTGTTTGGGTCTCCCCTGGCCTCCTTCTGCGGGGAACTTTGGGAGGCGAGCGCTCCCGCAAGCTTGGCGAATCCTCGTCCAGCAACGTCTCCGGCAGCTCCTCCGGCAGCTCCTCCGACAGCTCCTCCGACAGCTCTTTCTCTCAGCCCCACTCTGCTTACATCGCCTGACAAGAAAGGGCCTTTGCTTAGTGCCGGCCCCTGCAAGATGGAGATGCCTTCTGTCCCACCGCCAGACAGAGCACCAAAGCGAGTGTCGCACGGGCGACCAACTTTGGTGCTGGGAGCTTCGCCGCTGCAGCTGTCACCTGGAAGTGGGCATCAGGGACATCAGGGACAGGCTCAGAGCCCCGTGCTGCCAACGACACCGGGCTCCACTGGGTCGCGTCAATGCAGAACGCCGGAGCCCGTGTACGACAGGTGACTTGTCTTTCATGAATCATGTATGGGTCGGGGCTCATGCGTGGCAGGGGAACGGTGTCAAGATCTCCAGCAAGCCCTGCCGGTTGTGGCTCCTGCAGGCTGGCTCGCAAGAGTCTTACGAGACAAGTGGACCGGGACTGTGCTGAATGTCTTGGAGCCAGCGCGGCGCGCATCCGCGGTGATTCTGGCTCGTCTCTGTGACTCGACGGCATCGGCCCCAGTAACTTCCGTACAGGTGCTTGTCAGACTTCCGAGGAATTACACCAGCTCCTCCCAAACCTCGTGCCTAAGCAAGTTGGCTGCACTTCAGATCCCACTTGGTCTGAAATCTTTAGGCAGTTGATCTGAGTTTCAATATGTTTCAATCCTTTCCCGTGCCTCTCAAGCAGAAGTCAGTTCCTGCTGGCTTCGAGTGTTTTCTTATGGCCATTAAGTGGCCTTTGTAGCCTTGGTCTGTTGCTGACATCGCGGTGCTCATGTCTCGCCGCTTTGTCGATGTAGGGAGGCTGAAGACGCTGTGGAGCAGTTTCCCTGGCAATGCGTTCACACGACATTTACTTCGCTGGGACTTAGTCAATCGATTGGTGGAGAAGCCTGAGCGACTCAGCATGCTTGAGCTGCTGCTGCTCGCTCGGCAGTTCTTCGCGTTGCATGCTGTGCTGGGCTTGTGCAGCTTGCTGTTGCAGATGTTTGGACGCTGTGTGACTCTCTCCGGTATATGGAATGTCGTATTCCCTCTTGCCGGCATGCACTTTGCACGGCATGAAGGCATGGGAAGCTACCGGGCCGTGCGTTGGTGGATGGCTTTCTGGTTGTTGGAGACCCTTTTTGCGCTTATTCAATCAGTTGGACGTACCGGCGCAGTGATCAATGTTCGTGCTGTGGCAGCCTATGGCATTCAATGGCTAGCTTTGGCAAGGCTTTGGTGCTGGCTGTATGTGCAGCACATTGCATCCGTCCAGTTCTATTTGAACATTGTGATCGAAAGCGGGAGGAACCTATTCTACAGTCGAGCAACAACAACTGGGCGAAGCAGTAGGAGCTCGTCTGTGGATTTACTGGCTGACCGCATCTTGGATGACAAGTACGCATCCAGGCTGGCAGAGGGAGTCGAAAAGATGATTTGCGAGAAGCTTCGTGATGAAGCTGCAATCAGTGCCAAAGCCAAGAAGCATTTCCAACGAGGCAACTTGATCGTTGTTCTCGTGTCAATAGAGCGAGTGAACATGAGAAAAATGTTGGAGCTGAAGGGAGAGCAGCAGAGACTACGGAAAGTCGATCTTGTCATGAAAGTGGTACGTCAGTTGCCAGTGCCACTGAAGTTCGACTTGGAGCAGGTTCTATTGTCACAAATCTGCCGCAACATGATCGAGCAGGTTCCATCAAAGTTGACAAGGCAGATGTGCGAGATTGGAGGTGTCAACGTGGATGTCGAGGCCAAGACCAAAGATGAGCAGGCAGACTTCCTGCTCGAAGCGATGAGACAGCTAGATGAGGAAGACATTTTAGAAGCGCAGAATAGGCATACAATCGCAGTTGGCGGAGATGAGGTGTGGCCGTTTCTGTGTGGATACGGACAGGCCAAAGTCCGCCACGTTCCAACAACTGCTTGCTATCCGCGCCAGGTGACGTGCAGCATTTCGCCACAGATTGAGTGAGCCACTGAGGCACCCCTTGCTGCAGTGAAGCGGGAAAGAGCACGACACGGGCAAGTCTACTAGAGCCCCTGTGGCAAGCAATACTATTTAGTTGAATGAGCCGCTTGACTGCTAGAATGCCAGAATCGGCCGGAGCGCATACAGCACGCGTTCAGAGGCTTAGGTTGTCTAAAGGAGGACCCGTAGCTTTCAAAGGACGTGCCAGGTGACCCATGTATTGACCATGTGCCTCGGCGACCAGCACTGGCCGGAGAGCCGGCTAGAGAAAAAGCGGGCGTTGGGGGTCTATGCTGCTCTGTTACAGCCTGAGTTTCACATTCTCTGCCCGAGTCGAGGGAGTCATGTAGTGGCATTGTCGCAATGACCCAACTTGATGCAGAGTCAACTTGAACCTTGTGTTCTGAACTTCTTCTAAGGTCCAGTCTCTTCTTCTGGCGAGAGTACTAGGTCAAGCATCTGTCCGTCTGATCTCAAGACGCAGAGTCTTTCTTGAATGGACCGTGTTTCTGCGGTGAGAAGTGTTCTGGTGCAGCTCTCTGATGCTCTCTGATGCTCTCTGATGCCCTCCGGGTTCACAGCAGCTGAGGCTTCGGGATGTTTGGAAGCGCCGAAGTCACGGTGGAGGCCGCGAGACAGAGCCTCCTCGCCCACTCAGAAGCCCGACGCCTGCGGAGGCACAGCTTCGCCTGGAGTTTAGCTCGGCTTCAGGGATCTCACACCAGTGAAAGGGATGTTGAGTCGGCCTTTTTTTTCTTCATCTTGCAGCCACGAAGCCACGAAGCTTTAAAGTTGCAAGAAGAAAGCCGGACTTGAAAGATTGAAAACCCACAACAAAAAACATCGACGAGTTTTTGCTTCGCCGATGGATGGATTTCTTTGACGACCCTTCAATACTTGTGCAGGTGAGGGTAACTGAGGTGGGACTGGTCAAAGACCTGACATGTCCTAAGACTCTCAGACCACATAGTCCGACTTCTGTACATCGTGTGTTGCGTTTCCGTGCAAGGCAGCTTGGCTTAGCATGGAAATGGCAGCGGCAACGCCGAGGCGATCCAGGAGGGACTCTGCAGTATCAGATCAGTTCAATCGAAGGACGACAACTTAAGAAGTAGATCATCTTCAGATTCGTCCGACAGGACGACGTCGCTGTCACCAGTAAAGGAACAAGGGGAGACTCCACACAGTGCCTTGTTGGTAGCTCATGGCGGGGCCTGTGAAGCCTGTAGCGCGTCTCGTTCAAGGAACTGCTTCCTTGTGCGCAAGCAAACGCAAGCCTCTGGTACACTAAGGACCTGTGGTGTGCCAATAGCTGGGCGCAGCTTGCCTTGCAATCGGAACTTCGGCGCTTGAGAGCTGACGGTTGAAATCAGCGTGCTTTGTGAGCAGCAGAGGTACCCCAGCTCAAGCGACAGAGAGATCCAGGTACGCATCGAATTGGTGGCAGCTTTGGGATACTCAAAATTCCCACGATTCCAAGTCGGAAAGAGATGCAACCAAGTCCCAAATCTGCTGTTACCGTTGTGTAGCTTTCTTGCACGCGATAGCAACATAATTCCAGATGGCAGCTTTGCAAGTTGTTTCACCATTATGCTCAACACAAGTTTGTTCAGACGATCTTAGCTTGTGAAGAAAGCGCCCCTGTGGTGTAGCAGCTGGTTCGATGACCACTGCACTTTCTGAGTGTCTACAAGATGGCATCAACCCGCAATGTTATTTTGTTGCTCTGTGTCTGCTTGCAAGGAAAGCGCGCCAGATTGTTTCCATCTCTGCAATTCAGGTGTGGCGTACTTGTACTTTGCCATGCCACTCAGCTTGTGCCGGTTGATTGCAGGCAACGCGGTCACGGTCGACGGGCGAAGATACCCGCAGAGGTATATTTGTACATGTTGCCGCCTCAGGCTTCTTTTCTTCCTTTGGGTGCCCGAATCGCGGTCAATTTCTTAAGCACTTTGCATTGTTTCTAGGGCCCGATTTTCTTGATGTTTGAGGCCTCTTGGCTTCTGGTAAACGAACCTACTATATACTGTAGGCAGTGCAGACAGAAACATATTAACTCAGCTGAGCATCCCAGCAGCCATCCGATCTTGCTTTAAATCGAGAGTCTGTAGTCAACTCAGCACATGGGGCGTACACCACATGCAAAATTCAAGAATCATATCACGCATCTGTGCCAGAAAGTGCTTTTGAAAGACGAGGCACTGAATGTCGTAATCTTACACCGCCACCTCCAAACATGCCCGTTACTTCCTCGCCAGAACTCCAGATTGCCCGCTGTCGCTTCTTTGTTATAGTGGACGTCACTGGCAAATGTGTTCTTCCCTAAGCCGTGTCTTAGAGTGCATGTTACTGTAAGGACCCAGTGGGCCCGTGGTACATGATAAGCAACTCAAGCCCACCCACCAATCCAAATCTCAAAGCTGCCACCCGTTTCCATTCCAGAGCATCGCAGCAGACTAGTAATAAGCATAAGGCCCTGCGCCCTCGTCATGGATTCTGCATGCATGTTTGGGCACAGCAACAATGCACCCTGGCCGGTACATCAGAGAGGGGTCCGCCATGTAAAGTTGACCCTTTTGGCCCTTCTTACGGCCCTCCAAAACCACCGCGGTGTTAGCCTCCGAATGCTGGTTGGACGGCATCAGTGTCTACTGTGCACACAAGCATGCTTCCGTTGCGGCTGCTCATGCAATCATGGCTTTTCGCCTCTTGAGGCGCAGCGCTCGTGCCCTGGAAAAATAGCCTCCACCTCCACTCACTGGCAAGTATCGAGGTCAGGCGGCTTTGCCCGTCGACTCACCAACAACTTCCCACACCACACTTCAACCTAACCTGCACCTTTGTGGTGGCAACACCAGTCCTTTATCATGGATCAGCCCTTACGTAACCACACGTTTCTCACCCGACAATGCGCGGGCAAGTCCTTGACCCCTGCGGGGCGATGCTAGCTTTCGTCGCCCTGGGTCTCAAGTACTTCTGTTTTTCGGCACTGGCAGGCTCTACTTCTTGCAATTGACAAGCTGCAAGCTGCCCAGTCACGGAGTACTGGGTAACGTGGTGGATGGTAGACCGAGCCAGGTGTGGTGTGCAATCAACTAGGTGTCGTTTGCGACTCTCAGGTCAAAAGTTGGACGCGATAATTACTCAGTCCCGAACCAAGTGGCCTGACAAGCTGCAATCGTGAGCGGCATGGCCTGCTATATGCAACTGGCGCACATCGGCGCAAGCCTTTCTTTATTGTTGGCTTTCTCGCGAAGGTTGGTATGCTCTTCAACGCATGGCTATTGGAAGATGAGCTCGTTTTTCGAGGTCTTCAGGCCATCTTGCAGCATCCCCACTTGTGTCGCATAGCTTGTGTTGAATTGAAAGAGCCTCTGCCCTTTGCTGCTTGTCGCGTGCAGGAGCTAGAAATCCAGTCGCCTTCAGACTTCAGCCCAGATGCCATGGCCTGGCCTCTCGTGCCACCGGCTCCGGCCCAAATTTCGTGTTTGAGCAGCGTGCATGGACGTTATACGATGAGCCTTGTTCCCTGGACCAAGAGAAATGGCTTAAGGTATTCATGATGTGGGGGTGCGTAGACTGAGAAGCCTCGATGCAAACGACTTGTCCATGGCATGGCAGCACTCATGCGGCCATCATCTCAAGCCTGAGATTAAAGTTAGCATCATGTGAGTGTAAACAATACTACTCTGGGAGTGCGATGATGCCGGGACCAGATGGCAGATATTGGAGGATGGCGAGGTGCGACAGCAGGGGTCGCAGCCAGTCTCTTGGTCACCTGGCTACTCTCGCAACCGCACCAAGCGGCAGCTGACCAGCTGGCTGCACACTATCTCTTGCCATATCTCTCAGATTCGCCTCCCAGCAGCTGCTTGTCTGAGCCATCGTACAGCACCAACCACTTTCTTGCAAGTGTGTGTGTGTGTGTGTGTGCGCCTTTTTGTGCGCGTGTGCATGCTTGTGTGAATCAGCGCGCGCTTCTTCGCAAACAAGGCCAGGTGACCGTGGAGTTCTGCAATCTGTTCCGGACACTGCGCACAAGCACGCTGTTCTTTGATAGGACTTGTGAAACAAAGTGGACACAGCAGTGAACGCACAGCTCCATGCTTCGATTGTCAGGATTGTGGAAAAGCCCTACTATGTGATCTTTGCATCATGTTGGGTGTGTGCGCTGATGCAGCAGTTGATCGACACGTCGAGATATTACGAGGAGCGCTACGAAGAGCTTAGCAAAACGCTGCTCGTCAGAAGTCAAACAGCGTTTTGTGTAGCCTCAGGGGCCGCGAATGCTGCTCGATTCAAGTACTCCTGTTTGTTTTCACGACATCAGGCAGAAATGCTATGTCGGGATCCAGCTCTTGACGATGCTCGGTACAAGTCTGACATCTCTTGTGCGATAAAGTACTTGCTTCCCGATAAGAAGCCCACCTGGATCACGAAATGTCAAGCCAAAATCTTATCAGCAGCACAGGCAGTCAGCGTGAGGCGTCCCCCACTTCCCAACCCCTTCCCCCCTTCCCCCCTTTCGTCTTCCCGTCTCCTTCCCCCTCCCCCCCTTCTCCTTCCCCCGTTCTCTTTACTCCTTGCCCCCCCTTCAGGTTTAAACTTGAATTGACACTGACGCACCATTTTAAGGGGTGGGGAAGTGTCGACCCGGCTGCACATTCCTCAATCCCCTTTGCTTCAGCGCTTTCGTCACACCATTCTGAGAGGAACGTAACCTTACGGATCTTGATCACGCAATGCAATCAATGGTTCAAGCTGGCTGCACAGGCTTGTGATGGAAACGCTCGCTATCGTGGGCAAGATCGATTGGCTGGCTGGCGAGAGCTTGTGGCACATGTACAACTTGCACCTTGGCTTGGCCACAGAATCTGGACCGAGCTGGACGACCCTCTTTCCTCTTCCTCCTGGAGCTTCGTAGGAGTAGTCTCTTGTGCACCCGAGGTATGTATATGTGTTTGTGCACTCGTCAGTCTTCGTGCACCTTGGCTTGGAGAGGAGGGCCGGGCTCAAGATCCGCAACGAAGTCACATGAATCACGGGGTCTGATCTGGCAGAGACAGGTTTAATTTGGATTTGCACCCGATTGCTGCGTGAAGTCCTGGCTGCGGGGGGTGCCGGAGAGTTGAAAGTTGAAGCAGTTGAAGGCGTTCCATCATGATGTCCATGATTATTTGGGACTGGCTGCTGGCACGCCTACTGGGGCGGCCAGTGTTTGGAGCAGCCGCTTGGCTGGCGTTCCTTTGGCACCCACATGGCTTTTTGCAAGAATGTGCAAGCACTCATATAGCTGTGCGCAAAGCAAAAACCTATCTTCAGCTGGGCCCATCGGGCTTGGCGAAGTAGCAAGACGTGAAAGCTTTGCCAAGCTTGACGCTTGTCCCCTCGTGCCACGAGATGCTGGCGGGCGTGGGGTGGGACTGCTCGCCAGGCCCTTGCCATTAATCCGTGTTGCCTAAGGAATATGATGGGCAGGGATGGCGGGACTGGCATCGGGCGGTCCTCCTGATCATCATTATGCAGCTTCGTGACATGCATATCTCGTGCTTTTGGTCGGGGTTGTTATGACGGGTTCACGAACACGTGGTAGTTTAAGAGCAGGTCCATCAGTCGCGCGTTACCAACGCTTGGGCGTGGGAGCCTTCAGTGTGCTCGTGTCCGTAGCCTTGAGGTTTGGATCTTCAGTCTTCGTCCACGGCTCACAGGTGCAAGGTGCAAATTTCAACTGCAGCAGCTATAGACAGCAGCTATGGACGAGACGTGCAGCGCATCGTTTCTGGACTTTCATGTTCCAGCTCTGCTCAGGTCATGATGGTGGTCACGCTCACACATGCTATCCCAGCACTAATCCTGTACTATCCGGTGTTTCTCCTTGCTGCTGCTTTCATCATCAAATTCCGTCTCTCTGCGCTTATTAGCCATTCATTTCGTGCGTTTCACACTGAAGGCCTGGGGCCTGTAATGTTTTCCGCCGTGCGTACAGGTTCTTGGCTGGAACTGCTGGGGCTCAATCCGGATGGCCGGGCTGGGCGTGGTCTGGTGTGGCTCGATGCAAGCATTTTCCAGTCATTTGCAAGAATTGGCGTGGGATGTGCATCAGGTCTTGCAAGGCTCTGTGGAATCACTCAGGATGGCGAGTAACTCATTTGTAGCTGTCGTCTCGATTCAGCCGGGGCCTTGGCGGATCAAACCTAGCCGCTGGGCAACGACAGCAAAATTACAATAGAATCAATAACATGACAAAATAGTCAGCTCTTGTTTCCAAGATCTAGAGGCCCAGGATTCCAATGAACCTACCGACTGCAATATGAATGAACCCGTGTTTTTGGTTGTTGTTGCCACATAAACCAGCCCAGCCTCCGTAGCAACAAAAAAAGCGCCAGCATGTGTGTTTAGGAAGTGAGTTTGTGAGCGATGGGCGCTGCGCCGCGCCTCCCCCCGCCACCCTCCACTCCATCCCCCCCCCCCATACCCCCCCATACCCCCCCACCCCTCCCCCCCCCCCTCCCCCCCCCCCCCCCCCATCCCCCCCCACCCCATCCCCCCCCCACCTTGGTTGACGGTTCCCTTCCAGCATTGTGTTTGCAAATGGGGGCCGCGCAAGCTTGCGCCAAATAATATGAATGTTGAAACCCATCATGCGAGCATTGTGTGTTGGCATTCCAAACCCCGCCCCCTTTTCTTGCCGCACAAGCTTCCGCACAGCAGAAAGCCTCCACAGCAAAAAAACCTTCACAGCGCAAAATGAAGATGCCAGGCCTCCACAGAAAAACCAACGCGCCAGGCCTCCACAGCAAAAAAGCGCCAGGCTTCCATAGACAAAAAAACGCGCCAGGCCTCCACAGCAAAGCCCGACCTCCACACCAACAAAAGAACGCGCCAAGCCTCCACAGCAAGCAAGCCTCCACAGCAAAAAACACAGAAAGCTCTTCTACCTACTATGAATGCCACGATGACAGTGAAAAGAGCAGGACGATGATTGCCTCCATCATCCGCGTGTACTTTGGTGATGCCTGGAAGCAGGGGTATTTGACCCCGTTGACGCTTGAGCCGCAATGGCTGCATTTGCAAGCGTAAGCGCAAGATGATACTAGTGTACATGCCTGAGAACATCAAAGCTTGCCACAAGTCGGTGAGCTGCCAGGAAGGACGACGTTGCATCCAGGACGTCTTCGTGGCCTTACCGCACCATAGAGTTCCGTATCCTGACAAGATCACAGGAGCTCCAAGACTTTCTACGAGTGCCATCTGCGAGCTGGCATGGGTGCCTTGATCGATGGTGAGAGAAGATACACTAAGCAAATCCACACACAGACATGGCACACGCATGTGATGTGAATATCTGCTCTTGCTGCCACTCCGGCTCCAGGGGAGTAGTAGTTAAGTGGCATCAATGGAGGTTGTGGACCCAGACCCTTGGATGCCTTTGTACGTGTAGCTGCAATCGGTGGATGAATGCCAGCTGCGAATGCGAATGTTTCTGTGACTTTCCATCAGGAAAGGCTTGCGTTGGCCCATCGGCGAGAAGCTTCTCCAAGTTTCAGGTCGAGATGCAACTGCCTGACATTGCTTGACTAAGTCAAGAGGCTCTAGTCTCTATGAGGGTTCTGATCAGCAAGTCTGGTAGACGTTACCTTCACCCTTTCCTTGCAACTCGTAGCGTCTCCTCACATCCGATTCATGTCCTTCTGTTCCCTCTTCGGCCGAGCATCTTGAGCCTGCTCGATAACTAGCCCGACAATGCATTTCATTCTCTTGTCTGATTTGCCGGTGGCTTTTTTGGCCCTTTGTCAGGTGTGGCTCAAGGCTTGACATACATGTCTGCGCTGGCTCGGTTGGGATGCCCACTTCGACACCGCTGCAATGACACCCAAGGGAGGCACTGGGGCCCTGGCAGGCTTCAGAGCTGGCAAGGTGCACTTCTTTCAGCTCTTACCACACACATGGCCAAGCTGGCAAGTTCAGGCGTAGATGCTGAGTGGCAGACTGGTTTGGTTTTGCGACGGTCTGCGCAGTCCAGTGCGAAGCAAGCCGGCTTGTCGCTGGTCAGTGCTGTGAAAGCAGCTTGCGGGAAATGCGGTCGGTGGCATACTGTTCTGGAGCTGCAATCTCAAACGAGCTGACGCCATCAGAGCGCAAGGTGCCTTGGACAACGCTGGCCCAGCACTTTTGCCTTGCGCTTGCATTGTGCTGCATGTGATGCTTGCAGTTGTGATCGGTAGTGTGAGCCTAATCGCGGCGTGCAACCAAGCAGAGACCTTAGCCCTGCGAGGTGCAGCGGTCCGTCTTCGGCTACAGCTTGGCCATCAGTGCATGCCAGAAGTTGTCCAAGTGGCCCCAAGCAATAGATCTGCTGGACTTCATGTTGCTGCAGGCAGTGTCACCAGACGTTTACAGCTTCACGAGCACCGTCACTTCCTGCGCGGCCGATGGCCAGTGGCAGTTGGCAGCCGCACTTCTCCACGACATGCAGGAGCTTCAAGTATTGCCCAACCAGGTGACCTATGCAAGCTTCGTAGGCTCCTTCGGAAAGGAAGGTAAGTGGCAACGGGTGCTCGATGTTCTTTACCAGATTCAGTCCCGCCGAGACTTACTTGACAGTTTTTCCTGTGCTGCTGCAGTCAGTGCCTGCACGAGGGCCACAAAATGGCACTTGGGACTTCGTTGCTTTCAGACCCTGCAGCGGCAAGGGCTGACCTTGAGCGAGGTGGGGGGGGGGTGCTAAATCTGGATTTTGGATGTGGGGGGGGGGGGCATAGGGAGGCGAGGGATGCAAAATGTTATTTCATTGTTTTCAGACCATGCAGCAGCATGTGTTGACCTTGGAACAAGGTTGGCTTCAACACTGCCATCAGTGCATGCAGCAAGGGCAGTCTGTGGCAGGAAGCAATGGATCTCCTGCATGACATGCGCGTCTGCCGTCTTGCTCCTGACCTGATTACATACAATGCCATCATCGCCAGCTTGGCTGCGGGAGGACAGTGGAGGAAGACCACGCATCTGTTTGGTCGCCTGCCTGCTCTATCCTTCACTCCCAACGTGATAAGCTTCACAAGCACTATGGTAGCCTTGAAGGCATGTGAAGGCTGGCAAGATGCTGTGATGCTGCATGGAAGCATTCGGCATGCTCTGCTACAACAGAATGACATCAGTTTCGGTGCTTGCATCAGCTCGTGCGAGAAGTCTGGCCAATGGTCCGAAGCTGTCAAGTTCTTGAGCGAGATGCCTGTCGCCAGGTTGCGGCCTGATATGACTAGCACAAATGCCGCAATCAGCGCTTGCGAAGCTTCGGGAAACTGGGATTTGGGCATCAGCTCTCTCATTGCATCAGAACTCATGGGCCAAACCAGATCAGCATCAAGTTTCATGTGGGCGCTTGCAAGGCTACATATCAGAGATCCTGTGGTAGTTCACGCGGCAATGGTTGAGGCCATCTGCGACATGCGCAAGCACTTGTTTCAAGACACACGGCAGATGTCCACCATGTGGTGGGCTGGCCAAATGCTGGGTGCAAGCAGCAACGTATACACAGACCTTATGACGGAGAGAACCGTGGCCCGCCTACCAGACTTCACTTCTAAAGAGCTGGTGATGTCACTGTGGGGTGCTGCAGGAACTGGTAACGTGTTTGTTCGATCTGCGCAGCAAGAGTGGGTCCATCGCATTCAGACGATGCTGTCTTCGAGCCGCTTTCCCATGGATGATTGGCAGCAAATGCGAAGCCACATTCTTGGCAGTCTATGGGCCTGCACGTATGCGGGCATGGCAAGCGAGGCATTTCGGCTGGCTGTGAAGAACGTCATGCTTGTGGCAGGGCAAGCTTTAGATGAGACGGTTTTCACAAAAGCCAGCACGTTGCTCAGCAGGTGCTTGGCTCGCGGGCAAACAATTCAGCACAGAATTCAGCAGGAGAAGCCATGCATGCCATACGTCCTCTCCGAGATACCCGACCTCTTGGTGATACTCAAGCCACCTGGTTGGGAAGTGGAGGCTCGGTGGGAGGGAGGTGAGATGAACTATCGCTCGTTGCACTCGCTGCTCACGGAAGAATCGCAAGAATCGCAAATACCTCTTGGCTCTAGCGCCCCCATTTTTTTCGATGCTGGGGCAACCTTTGGCTTCCTGCATCGTTTAGATGTGCCAAGCTCAGGGCTTGTGCTTGCAAGCAGAACGTATCAAGCATATTATGCTCTCAGCGTTCAGCTGGCTGCTGGTGAAATACTGCGCGGGTACAACGTTCTGACACATGGCTGGGTGAATCACCAAAGAAAGGAAATCAATGCACGCGTTTACTGGCGTGGTGGCTTGCCGAGCCGCAGCAGCGGTCAGGGCAAGCCCAGCCGGAGCTTTCTGAAAGTGATCCTGCACGGGTATGTAGGTGTGGACGTCACTTCTGTAACCGTGACAGCAGTCAGTATTGCAACCGGGCGCAGGCACCAGATTCGCTGCCACCTGGCTCACATCGGCCACCCTGTCTGCAAAGACGATGCATATGCAAGCCAAGAATCGGGCTCTTCCGATTGGCTATGGTGTCCGAGAAATGCCTTGCACCGTTACAGGATCAGATTCAGAGACATGCAGGGCCTGGAGCACGATGTTGTGTCCCCGCTCCCCGTGGACTTGGCAGAGGTGCTGCAGAAAGTGACCTCTAAGACAGGGAGCCAGAGCTCAGTTTGCACGCCTCCGCCAGCAATGGGGATGGGGAGCTAATGACGAATTAGCGCAGCCACGTGTCAAGATGCTCGGCTGGGAAAAGCCACCCCCGCATGTATATGTGTGTGTGTGTGTGTGTGTGTGTGTGTGTGTGTGTGTTTGTGTTTGTGTTTGTGTTTGTGTTTGTGTTTGTGTTTGTGTTTGCGTTTGCGTTTGCGTTTGCGTTTGCGTTTGCGTTTGCGTTTGCGTTTGCGTTTGCGTTTGCGTTTGCGTTTGCGTTTGCGTTTGTGTTGTGTTTGTGTTTGTGTTTGTGTTTGTGTTTGTGTTTGTGTTTGTGTTTGTGTTTGTGTTTGTGTTTGTGTTTGTGTTTGTTTCTTGGCACGGTTGCTGGCTGCGCAGCTGAGGCTCAGGATCTGGGTGTCTGAATGTGAAGTTGTTTCTTGAGACATCCTTAGTGCTAAATTGTTCCACTTCCAAGCCCTCGACGACTGCCTCAAGCGGCCGATTGCCGACGAAGTCTTGCAAAAAGAGTCAGTTGGGGTTTGTAATTTAGGATTGCTTGGTACAGATTGGATTGGTTAATTGTCGCTCGTGCCTTATTGTGCCCTCGTCATAACGCACCATAGGTTTGTGCCATGTTTGGGGCATTTGAATCAGGAGTTCGTTGTTTGAGGAGGCCTGTTTGTTCTTTCCTTTTTTTTGGGGGGGGGGAGGGAGGGAGGTATGTTTGTTCGTCATGGTTGTGTTTGCTCTATTTTGCGTTTGCCTTCGCCTATCGCATGATGCCCCTGAAAACATGTGAATTTTGTAAACCTGTGATGCGAGCAGTGCGTTTGCAAATGGGTTGTAGGGGCCCAAACACCCCGCTTGCTAATCCTCGGCTCCCAACCTCTACATGTCAAAAATCTTGAGCGCAAAAACCCCAAACCCAAAGCCTAACTCAAAATCTCCAGCGGGACTGTGTTCCGTCAGTCGGGTCAGGTTCCCATACCCCTTTTCCACTCTGGAACCTTCACAACTTCTTAAAGGAAACGGAACTTTTCCTGTTCAAGTGTGGCGGAAAGATAGCTCGCGAAACCTAAAGAGCAACAACGAGAACAGCACGACATAGAGTAGGAGAGCTTTCCATTGAACTATGGTGATGAATATGCTGAGGGGAAATAGATAAACATCTACGACATGCAGCTCGCCCGCTGAACGAAGCACAAAAGGCAACCCATCCGCAACACCAAAATGCAGGAAAGTGCGTCAGTGCCACATTCACACGATTTGAAGCTATGTTAGCCTCAAAAGTGCACGGGAGCAGTGCACGAGAACTCTGCGAGAGCACGGGTTAGCATCCGCCGCCTGGCCAAAAGCATGCTATTCGCGATGTTTGGGAGACAATGCCTAAACTAATCTCGCGCCTATTGTTGGAGGGTTGCCAAGGTGCTGCTGAGTCAGGCAATTGACTCACTCTTGGACTCATTGTCTTCCAGCAGTGGTACACACCTGTTTGTTCGATGTTTTGCAGGAGACCTCTGACTCTGCGTTCAACCGGGGAATGCCAGCACAAGGCTTCTCATAAGCAGTACCTCGGCCCTAACTTGTCATCGAGTCGCTTCTGCGTCACTATGCGTCACTGAGCTTGGAAGAGGCGCTGAGACTTCCGAACTGCAGTGCAGCAAGAGCCTGAGGAGTATCCGACCATCATCGGCTCCTTCCAGAGGTCGTGGTCGAGCCACTTGCTGTGTCAAGGGCAAGGGCGAGCATGCATGGCTCAGAGTTGTTGATGGATGTTGCCACAAGTTGCCTCAAGTCGTAAGGAACATGTCCTCTCGGAAGATCAACAGCAGAAGAGGCAATTCGCCGCGAGTGCTGGAGCATGTGACAGATTTGCTTGATGGATCATGTCGCCATGTCAGGAAGATGGTGCACGCATGTGCTCCTCATCGGTTCAGCGCAGATTTGCAAGCTTGGGGCCATCACAGGCTTGTGTTCTTGGAGCCGGATGTGCGTGTCCGACTAGTGGTTTTTGGATAAAACAAATGGTGTTTGGTTTGTTTGTGATGGGCGTAGTCTCACCGGATCTGCTTGGGAGGACGCAGTCCATCGCCAAAGCAGCGCTGGCCCGCAAAGAGAGGGAGCAAACCATGCTGGGTTCATACCCTGATAGGCCGGGCTGCTTCGCAAGCATGTCTGCCCAGTCTACCGATTTTCGATTCCCATTAATCAGCTGGTGTGCTTGTTGTTTGCAGGCAAGGCATGCCCAACCGCATCAAGACGTTTGCGCTAAGCGCATTCTCGATGTATCCCATCATGCCTTTTCTGGCAGAGATGCCACGGCTCCTTGCTGGCAGTTAACACATCCAGAATTTGTCCTTGCCGACGTGTGCATTCATTCACTCATCTGGCGACTTGCTTTGCAGGCGAAGTCAGGGAAAGAAGGTTGCTGCAACTTCCGCAATGAGAAATGAGAAATCTGGCGCTGCCTCATCGCCTCTTCAAAGAAACATGGAACATGCGCAAGTCTGCACGTAACACCTGCGAAGCCTTGCGTGCCTTTTGGCGCAAGGCAAGCAGGACAAGGCGCCAGGCTTCCTTGGATTTGAGGGGCTCCTGAAGGGAACCCTTGACTCTGAGCTTCGTGCAAAAGAGACAGCGCGACAACACCTTAATTTCTTGTAATTTAACGCTACGCGACCCGCCTCGGCCCGGCCCAGCGCATCCGCGTGAGCATGGTGATTCCGCAGCGCCCAAGTCGCTGGACCCCAAGCAATAAGGGTTGGGTTGAGGGTTTAGGGTTCCGGGTTTATGGTTTATGGTTTGGGGTTTAGGGTTGAGGGTTAGTTTAGGATTGAGGGCTTAGGGCTCAAGGTTCACGCTTTGGGGTTTAGGGTTTTTGGGTTTAGGGTTCAAGGTTCAAGGTTCAAGGTTGAGGGTTGAGACGGTTCGGCTTGGATTGATCGTAGGGTTGAGCCAGGGGTGGGGGGGGAAGGGGGGCAGGGGGAAGGGGGGGAGGGGGGGGGGGGGGGGGGGGTGGGTGGGGGGGGGGGGGGGGGGGTGTGGGGGGGGGTGGGGGGGGGGGGGGTAGGGGGGGCGGAAGGGGGAGGGGCTTCAACTGCCTCTGGTCCTGGCGAACCGTCCGCTTGCGGACCCCGGTTTCCCACGGGGGGTACCCATTTGAGGCAAAAAAAGGGCTCCAAAAAATGGTTTTGGGTGTGGGGGGAGGATTTGGAGGGGGGTGCCTGTTCTCACAACCTATACACCTCCGGCCCGAGGCCTCGGCGGATTCCTTTTTCTGATTGACAGCGGACTCAGGCGAATACAAAATCATCAGCCTCATCAGCGCAACAGCTTAAGATATCCGAGGTGCCCTTCATGATCCCGACTTCGTGAATCTGTTCCTGCGCTGACGTTCCACTTGTACATAGACGTTGACAGTGATCGAGCATGCCTTTCAAAAAGCATAGCGCGCTGCCTGTATGGCATGATGTTGGCCACACTTCAGAACTCTCAAGCGACCCAACACGAACAGCACTTCGCGAACGCATCTGGACCGAGGCAACTAGTAAGATAATTCTCTAGGTAAGTAACCATATGTAACACAAAAGTGCCACCGGCCAGCTATGCTGAAGTTATCCGTATGCGAAGTGCCTCTAAGGCCGGCTACCAGGCGCCTCTTTCAAGATGCACCGGGCCAGGTGGTGTCCCGAACCCAGGGTGCATCTCATGAAACAGAGTGCACAGACTTTGTGAACTTTGTGTAGAAGGGTGCGTGTCCGAAAGCTGAGGTCTTGAGCAACGCATCAATGTTTGGAATTTCATCAACTTTGTGACGCCCTTGGAGTAGAGCTTGTGGCTTCCCGCTCATTTTGTGTCAATTAAACTAAATCTCTGAATTCTGCTGCCGCCGTTTGGCCATATGTCATGACACCCAGGCTCCGGCACGTTGTGCAGGAGGACCTAAGTATTGCATGCTCTGTAGAAATTCCTGTAACTGCAGACGGAAATATTGTCATGGGTGACCCAGCACCAGGCGCTGAACGCTCCCGTCTCCATAGAGGCCCTTGGCTCCACTCAGCATGGCAAGACCACGCAAAACCTGCAACGCACCAGGAGTACCTCTATCACGTGCAGGGCCTTTCCAGCTTCGGCTTCAAGCAGTTGCCTTGGCAGTGCAAGCTTGATTGATGGTCATCAATCTGGTTCTCACGTTCGCTTTACGTGGCGCGCTCTTTATGGTGCGACTCCTCTCCCCACCAAACAGGCCAAACTGACCTAGTTCCGTGACGTTCAGTGTTCCCCGACGGCCCAGCAGTAGCCCTGAAGCTGCTTGGCCGGGCTCTCTTGTTCTACCACCTCCCCCCCATGTCCGAAAATTTGACTTTACACAGGACTCCTACGGAACAGTCCTCTGCAATGCTGTGTACGCACTTGACGGAGGGTGCCCGCATTAACATTGCCTGCGCCTATTGTTGCTCATTTGCCAGCCATCCCTCTCGACCAGTCTCTTGCATTTCTGACATGGCCGGTTGAATCTGGTGCTTTCGCTGGTCACTCCGGTGACCTTCAGTGGATCTCCTCCATCTCTCTTGCTGTTGACTTTGACCGTCTCTTCTCTGTAAGCGTTGTCCAAACTTGGAGTTCGAGCCCAGCATGCGGCCAACAACGAAAGAAAGGTTTTTGCTTGGCATCCAGCTGCGTCGATTGAGGCAGAATAAGCCAATCCCGAGCAAGATACGGGTCACTATGTCAGATCGCGAACACGTTGTCTGCCGGCTGCCAAACTTCATGGCAACAACAATATCAACAACATCAGAAGCATCGATAGTATCAGTATCTACTCGGGCATGCGTCTACATTCAGTTACACATTCCTTGTACTTCATGCTGCGGAATGGTTATCCAAACCAAGCCCCGTCCATCTGCCAGGGCATAGTTTGGTTTGGCTTCGTTTGCCAGTCTGGCGTCTGAACCTGCAATATGCCAACACATGTACGATGTCCGAGGCCTTGCCGAGCGTGCAGTGCAGGGTACACTCCTGCCACTTGCGCTGTGCAATAGATGGAACGATGAGATCCATGTCCTTTGCGGTGGCATCTTTTGCAAGAACGCTAGGCAGCCGACAAAGAATCGCAGCAAAATGGTGGAACCCGATATGATGTTGCTGCTGCTGGTTTCCTAATGAAATTTTTCTTGTCTATTTGAATGTGGTGTAGTTATCAAAAACTATATTTTCTTACATTTTTACATATTTTCAACCTGGGAGAGAAAAAAAACATTTGTGAATTTTGATCAATAAATTGAAGAAATTAACCAGAACGAAATTCCCTTGTTGAAGCCCAACCTTGATATTGATATAAAATCTATCATTCCAATGAAACGAAATATATGACACCCACGTGTATATTCAGAAATCTGGCTTGGTTTCATCGAAACGAAATCCTACATGAGGGTTAAAAGGCTCATATGAAGAAATTTAATACGGTTTGTATAAATCTGAGAAAATTATGGGAATTAAATATTTCGAAATTCATTCGACAAAGACATATTTGAAAAGAATACTATAAAATAAGAGATATTGATGGAGGGGTATATATCTGATTGAATATTAAATATTTTAATCATATAATAGAATCACAATAGAATTGATTAATATTATATAATATGATATCTAGGAAATTTGTTCATATTGAAAAAAAAGAAGAATGATTTGAAATGATTAGATATTTCTTATTCGATAAAAATGATAAGAATATAAAAGAATGATGATATATAGATTTTTTAATGTAAAAATCGATGAAATGATAAATTGGAGACGAATTCTATGATATTTTTTATGCGGTTCTTTATAGAAATTCTATTGATTCTATTCGGGACCTCTCTTGGGGATTATTTCAATCTCATTTTGGGATATATATCCCCATAAAAGGCTACGGGCTCGACCCCTATTTTCGCTCTGCGGCCGCCCTGTCGGATGCCCCGCCTCCTCTTCCGGTCCATTTGGCTGCTTGTGAGGGCCTTGCAGGGGGATCCTGAAAATTCCGGGAATTTTAACGCTTTTTGTCTAAAAATCCCGGGAATTTGGGAAATTCCCCGGAGCTGAAAATTCCCGGAATTTTAGGAATTGTCCGGATTGAGGTTTGGGCTTTCCTTGGGCTGTCGCAGCTTGTCCGCTTGGTCCGCTTGGGTGGTTTTGGGCTGTCACGGTGTTGTCCGCTTGGTCGGTTTTGGGCTGTCACGGCGTTGTCCGCTTGGTCCGCTTGGACGGTGCTGTCCGCTTGGTCGGTTTTTGGCTGTCACGGTGTTGTCCGCTTGGGCGGTTTTGGGCTGTCACGGTGCTGTCCGCTTGGTCGGTTTTGGGCTGTCACGGTGTTGTCCGCTTGGGCGGTTTTGGGCTGTCACGGTGCTGTCCGCTTGGTCGGTTCTCGGCTGTCACACGGTGTTGTCCGCTTGGGCGGTTTTGGGCTGTCACGGTGTTGTCCGCTTGGTCGGTTTTGGGCTGTCACGGTGTTGTCCGCTTGGGCGGTTTTGGGCTGTCGCGGTGTTGTCCGCTTGGGCGGTTTTGGGCTGTCACAGTGTTGTCCGCTTGGGCGGTTTTGGGCTGTCACAGTGCTGTCCGCTTGGTCGGTTTTGGGCTGTCACGGTGTTGTCCGCTTGGGCGGTTTTGGGCTGTCACGTTGCTGTCCGCTTGGTCGGTTTTCGGCTGTCACGGTGTTGTCCGCTTGGGCGGTTTTGGGCTGTCACGGTGTTGTCCGCTTGGTCGGTTTTGGGCTGTCACGGTGTTGTCCGCTTGGTCGGTTTTGGGTTGTCACGGTGCTGTCCGCTTGGTCGTTTTTTGGTTGTCACGGTGTTGTCCGCTTGGTCCGCTTAGGCGGTTTCGGGCTGTCACGGTATTGTCTGCTTGATCGGTTTTGGGCTAGCACAATTTGTTCGCCTGATCCGCTTGGGTGGTTTTGGGCTGTCACGGTGTTGTCCGCTTGGTTGGTGTTGGGCTGTCATAGTGTTGTCCGCTTGGTCCGCTTGGGTGGTTTTGGGTTGTCACAGTGTTGTCCGCTTCGTCGATTTTGGGGTGTCATAGTGTTGTCCGCTTGGGTGGTTTTGGGTTGTCACGAAATTATCTGCTTGGTCGGTTTTGGGCTGTCATGGTGTTGTCCGCTTGGGCGGTTTTGGGCTCTCATGGTGTTGTCTGCTTGGTCGGTTTTGGGTTGTCACGGTGTTGTCCGCTTGGTCCGCTTGGGCGATTTTGGGTTGTCATGGTGTTGTCCGCTTGGTCGGTTTTGGGCTGTCATAGTGTTGTCCGCTTGGTCCGCTTGGGTGGTTTTGGGTTGTCACGGTGTTGT